CTGATCGAAAGATAGCACTGCACATGTCACATTGTGCGTTTAACTGGTATTATAACATTCTCGCCGTGGGTAAGAATCACTCTTACAAAACGTGAACATGTTTCACGCATGGCTAAGTACGTGCAACTGACAAATCGTTGTAAAGTTAATGTTTTCTCACACATTTACTAGCTTTTACTAAGTCATGTTTTTCTTGCATTTTACTATGGCAGATATTTCTAGTTCTACATTGCTGTGTTATTTTACACATGTATGCTGTCATCATAGGCATGGTGGGAGAGTCCCGTAAAATTTAATTAATGTAAATTACGTACTCACAATCAGCTCGTCACGACGCATTTTTCTTGAATTAAGAAAGTAGTTATAAGGGGAGTGTGGCTCAAGTGTCTGAAAGTCACTAATTGGCTCTACTATTTTTGGAACTAACTGGGAAAATAACAAGCCAAGCAGGGATGTGTATAACATGTATGCGTAGGACTCTTTGTTTTCCTGTCTACCGCTTCTATTACCCGTTAAGTCCCCGAAAATGGCATCTTTCATCAGACTTGCCTTCTAACCCGCTCTATAATTTACTTATAGCAGCACTACTTGCGTCTCTTTCTTTCACCCTCCTTTTTTTCATTGTAGGTTGTTTATCATAATCTCTGTCTCTATCTTTCTTAGTATATTGAATATAGTTACTTTCTATACTCACCTTTCGTATTATCTCACGTTCACTATCATTCAAGACTTTTGCCTAGTCAAAGCAACATACTTAGTATGTTATACAATACTTAGTATGTTATACGATACCTATTATACTATACCTCGTTGCTCTCTTTCTACCAATCCAAGATTTCGTATGTCCTCCCTACCTGTTATACCACCTCCTTTATTCAGGATTCAGGTAATCCTAGGCGATGGAGACGGAATAGTTTTATCAAAAATTTTTAAATAAACAAAAACGAAATTTTTTTTCTCTGAAGAGGAGTATTTTTTTAGTCAATGTTCGTAACATTGGAAAATTCTCTCTTCGGACAATGTTTTTTCGTGATTTTTAACTTATTCGTTCTTTTCGTTTCCAGTTTCTTATTCAGACTTTTAAAGGCCAATTTTTTAAATTATTTATTTAACCTAATCCCCCAAAATCACTTGCCCATTTATTCATAGAAAAAACATCAATGAAGACACTGTGTTCGATATTTTGAGCATAACTATTTATTTGCGTGTATATGCGCAAATTATATTGCACCCACACATGCATACGCACCTTTCTCCATGATAAGCAATTCTAACTTACTGTTGAAATTTATACTTGGTGCGTGTGTTACAGAGCGCACAAAAAGAAAAGGAATCATTTTATTCTTAATCACACATTAGTGTAGCGAGCTAGCAATCTAGCCATGGATGAACACAACTAGCAATTTTACTGATACGTAGTAATATAACAACGGCAAGATTGGCATAGTGAGTTGGGAAACTTGCATGTATTTTTAATCGTATGCCTATAATAAACTCGCTGGATCGCGAAACCACACGTCGCTGGTGACGCTCAAGCACGTATATTAGCCATTATTATATTAGCTATTATATTTTTAGCCACACTTACTGTATTTCATTGCGATAACTTGCGCAACCTGAACCTATCGCTGAAAAAAGCACTAATTATCCAAGGAGATCTGTGCTTGAAATGTCTAAAGTCAGGCCACGGGGTCGAATTGTACCCCCTATACTCAATGTATCAATACTGCAGGTCAACCTATTACAGCCTGCTACACAAAAATGGTTGTAAGTGGGCCCACAATTTGCCCAATCACTCACCCAAGCCAACACTTCCTGACGAGTGTGGATCGCCAGTGGCACAAGGATAATCAAAGCATACCTACTTCGACGCACCACCTGCATGCGGCTTCACACCCAACCAACCTCATAGCTTTTGGCTCTTTCTTCCCACATCCTGCGTCACGCCAACTCATGAGTTTACTCGAACTGGTGTTGACTACGCCAGCCCTTTCAACGTGCTCGCTCCAAATGGCTGTGAGATTCACACCACGAAAGCAAATATCACCGTCTTCATATATATATGCACTACAGCCATGCACCTTGAGCTCATCAGAGATTTGACTACCACCTTCTCCTCCGGTAGGCTGACTGAAGTCTGCAATTGGCGGGGCCAACCAGCTTAGGAGTGAAAACGCTCTTTACTTTTGTGTGGAAGACACAGATGTATGAAAGGCCTAGAGAAAAGCTAAATTTAAATGGGATCTCGCTACCGAGGCCCTCGCCCATCAAGGTCTTTCTTGGTATTTCATCCCCTCAGGAGCCCCTTATTTTAAAGAAGTATGGAAGTCTAGCATCGGGGCTGTAAGGCTCCTTTTGTGGCGCATCTTGAGCAAACATTATTTGACAAACGAGGAGTTCTATACCACTCTCGCCAGCATCGAGGCTGTGTTAAATGGCCGACCTCTCATACCTTTCAGGAATCTGAATGTCCTTACTCTAGGCCACTTTCTCATTAGCACATGCCTGGACTTACCAGTACAGGCCACTCACTTCGAGGAAAATGTCGAGAAGCTGAGCTATAAAAATTTTTTTTTTTCGAATTTTCCTTAATTTCTTCTGTAATTCTAATAACTGTTTTTATTACACATTCACTTCTTATATATCATAATCTGCAATGTGAATCCGCCTGTAGTGCCACCGTTATGACAATCAATGAAACTGATGAAAGGCAGGAAAACAAATCGAAATAACATGTCTGTGATAGGAGCCATTGGAGAAAAAGTGATATCACTAACAAAAAAAACTGCCGAGAACAGTCTGCGCATTGGTGCAGTGTTCCTCAGTCTAAATTTAAAAAGGATCTTACGTACATCAACTTCCAAAGGATAAAAAACAATGCCAGAAGTGGATAGTTGCTTGTAAGATGGACACACGCATAACCTCAAATATCAAAGTTGATGTAAGTAAGATCCTTTTTAAATTTACACTGGGGAACACTGCACCAATGCGTAGGCTGTTTTTTCATTAGAGATTGAACTTTTTCTTCAATGGCTCCTTCCTCAGACATGTTATTTCGGTTTGTTTACCTGCCTCTCGTCAGTTTCATTGATTGTTACGAGGGCAGCGCTACAGGTGGGTTCACATCACGAATAGGGTAAATAATCGAGTAAAATTAAACTATGAAGTTATGCTTAGTAACGCAGACAGCAATAGTCTCAGAATCCAGACGACTTGTACACATAACCACTTATAAATACAAACATTCCCAAGCCTCCTTCAATGCTCGGATGTTCTGTAAGTTCATAGTACTTAAATAATAATTTGTAAGTACGGTAAGCTGATGTTTGAAAGGTTTACAGCATCAGTAAGAGGAGAATAGAACCTTGTTGATAAATGTATACTTATATGTTTATACAAAATTTGTTGTCATAGTCCAGAAGATAGGTTAATTGATTTGATTTGTTTAAACCTATGTTAAGATGACTCAAAAGAAACTACAGAAAAAAACTACAGAAATAAAAATTATTGTATACTTTGACAGTTTAACTTCAGCATATTAGTGGTGATATTATAGATGACATATTTTAATGGAAATACAAGCTTACAAACTTATATTATAAAAAATAAAAAATGTTAGTATTGAAATTAACACATAGTACGACATTTTTAGATTCAGATAGCACAAAAAGGGTAGAAGCAGAGTTACGGAATCAAGGTTATAGACGAGTATTGACATAGATAAAAATGTTTTAAATTACAATTATAAGAACTTATACAGTTAAAAAATTGGGGTAATTACATTTATACATTCAATATAACCTAACGAAATACTTATAAAACCATTTCTTCAAAATTAAATCTATTGGTCAAAATAAGTACAGTACTAATGAATCTACATAAATCTTTTTTATGATGAATTTTTTTGCATATTTTAGAATAACTTATCCAATTTTTAATTATACGAAACCTTTTTTGAAAACTACTCAATAGTTAGTAAAAAAAAATAAATTCAAAAATGTATCTCTGAAAGTCACAAACTTAACATTTAAACAATAATAAAGTGCTATGAATGAATACTGTATTTTTTATTTCAGATCATACAATGTTTTCCTTAACAAAGCTAGTAATTCTTATGAATTTCAGTTAAATTTAAAAGTGAAGTTTAATAATTTATCTATATTAATAGCAGATTGCTTAATGTTGTCATTTTTATCAGAGTAAAAAGTGAAAAGGAGACAAGAAACACTTTTTGAAAGTAGAAAAATTAAGTTTGAACCTAAACGAAAGTTGGAAAAATCATGTCTACATTTTTAAGCATCAATAAGAAAGTAAATATAAAAATTTCAAACAAAAACTAATAAAAATATTGAAGCACATGTCCAAAATGTCACTGATTCGTTAAAAAAACGTAGTGTTTTGTAAAAAAAATAAACAATTAAGCTTAAGTATTAATATACACAAGAAAAGTATTTGGCTGTTTTTATGTTTCACAGTTCTAAATTGCTTAGAAAATTGAATTCAAGTATATTCACTCACACCTTGCAATAAACCACTTAAAATATTGAAAGAATTCTTTAACACTTCTTTTGTAAGTAAAGAACTGTTGTTATGTTGCTGAGTTGCTTAGGATCCTATTTCTTCAAATACGTTTGGCCTTCGATTAGTAAAATCTATATAAAAGATCCTATTATATGGCAATTAGAAAAAATACTATTTATCTGTTAATGCCATGCTTACTCGGATATTTGTTGTATTGTTTATAACGACAAAGCAGCTTATTCTTATTACTACGAATCTTTCTTACTTTTAAAAATTAAATACTGTAGGAATTTGTCCAAAAAAAAATTAAACAGTTAATTAATTAGAAATATTTTTACTTGGATTGTAAATAGAAGAGGACTTTTTTTAAAGAATGATCTGAAAACGAAAGTACCTTTCAGATACACATAACAGAAAGTAGATGTTACAAGATAGTTTAGTAATAAATACTTATGTAATTCATCAATAATTGTTGTTACCTCATCAGCTGGGGTATTCTTATCACTGATGTCCATGGTACTGATATTATCAGAGATTGGAAATATTGTTGCCACTAAAGCTCCTAAGACCTCACCACTCATAAATGTTATCATAAATTCTTGAAAAGTGTGATACAGATAATTGAAAAATTGCACTAGTGTCACGGGAGACTCAGTCAACCAGTCAGGTGGGACTAATGTGCTATTAAAAGAAAGGAAGGGTTATTTCTGTGACTAATGCTTTAATCATAACAACATTAAGTAACGATTTATTTGTTAAAAAATGTGTATTACCTGCTTGTGTAACTATGCACCATTTTTCGTACTAAAATAAGTAAAATCACCATTGCTTCGGGACACAATCTTATTCGAGATGGTAATAGTGAAGGAAAATGATTGGCTGGTACACCAAATAAGAAATTCCAAATATTGTCAATATCAAGCTGAAATCGATGCAAGAAATTATTGTCAGAAACTTTACTATGCTTTCGTTGATATTAAGAAATAAGAGTACGTTACTTTTGAATCAGCTGGTAATAACTTAGTTGGTTGCCGCATCATTAGAGCTATAAATAAGAAGTATAATTCAGGAACAAGATCAATATGTTGGGGAAGTATTAACTCTAAGTGTTGAAATCCGGGCACTTGCAGACTTGTGGCAGTCGTATTACCACCAGTTAATTGTGGATTAAAACCTGTAACAGTACATTTTGTGCTAAATATTGTTAATAAAATTATAATTTTTTGTTATAATAATAGATAAAAATTGAACGGTCTGTGAGAATATTTATGTATTGACATGAGAGATATTCTTTATGATGAAAAAATTTAACCTTTTTGTCGTAAACAATTTTTTTTTTCTTAATAAGTACAATACAAACCCAACTAGGATCCCAAAAATTTCTATCCAAACTAACAGATTGGTAATAATTTATTTTTAAATCTTATTTTACTATTTGCAACATTATATATCTTTTTTTTTTAATTAAAAAAGTATTGTTTATATTATCCTGCAATTTTTATTTATTATAATAGTTTCTGTTTATACTTTTCTTTAGTAAATTCTTAATTTCGACATTATCATGACGTAATAAGTCATGATGCCCACTGTCACTATAACCAGAAAAAGTTGTTAAATTGAAAATACTTGAAAGATTTTTAATACTATGAGTCAATCTTGAATTTTGTATAATTAATTTTTATTCCAAAAATATCATAAATTTCAATAAAACTTTCAAATTCGTTTTCTGTTCCAAAAATCCATTTCAAACATAGGCTAGTGGAAAGCGTTTTTTGGCATTTTCGCTCAACATATCATAACTGCAACGATTAGATTTTTCGTAACTTGTAGATAATAGAAATCTGAACAATTGAAGATGAGTTTAAATTAAATTTAGTTAATAATTTGTTGAAATATCAAATCAATGTCAAAATTTCATAAAAAGAATCCTTTGCACTTAAAAATTTGAACTAATACACGAATTTTATGAACCTACTATACCATTAAATTTTCACGAAAAAATCTTTCTTTGTACACAAGATATTGTATTTATTTATTAAAAAATTTTTAAGTGTTTAATGCCACTTCACCCAGTTCCCGTCGACAAAACCAATCAATCCAGTGATCATTTTGTTCAGAAAGACTTATTTTGTATAAAGATGGTATGAAAATACTGATTCTTTTATTTGAAAACCGCCAAAATGGCACCCAAAAACGCGCACTTCTCAGAGATGTTTTTTTTTAAATATCTCGTAAGTAAAGGACTGTAGCAGCATGCGATTTTCATAGATAAATAGCTGGCAATTTCATACGTATTTAAACAAAAGAAGAGTTGCTGTAGCATGCTCAGAAGCCAAGACAACTTTTTGTTCTTAAAAATCGATTATTAATTTATTTTTTAATATTAATACATGAAATTAAAGGCATAACCGTTTCAATACTTAAATTTTGTGAATTTATGACGTAAATCCAGCTTTTTAAACATATGTAAAATTATCTAAAATTAATTGTCATTATTGAGAAACAATCGATTATCTAAGAACAATAGTGATTGAAAACTTGGTCAAGCTGTTTCTAACTTTTAGAGTTTCAGAGCACCGTTGTATGCTTGCTAACTAAAGTTAATTGCATTTAACGATGTATTACCTAATTATAATCGTTTTCTATTTGGGATAGTGTAAAAGTTTATGAACAACTAGCATGGTCATATTACAAAATTTTCTAAACGAATAAATGATATAAAGAAATAATTTTTTTAGTTTGTGGAAAACAATTTTATTTTGTTCCTTAGCGTGATGTTTTTTTTTATCTCTGAGCAACTTACATTTAGAAAAACAAACCTACAAGGAAAAATCAAATTTTTTGCAAGTAGTGTGGTACGGTGCAGATAGTTTCAAGTTTATGCAACTAAGTTAATTTATAAGCTTCCTATATATATTTCCTGGCTGTGATACTACATTATGTTTTTTCAACCAGGGCAAAGGTGAAATTTTCGATAAATGTCAAGGGGTATTGAAAAATTTATCTGGAGTTTTTTATGAACGACAAACTGTCATAGCACAACTGGCTGGGAGTATAGCAAGAGTTTTACTTTACATATTTTACGATACTTGCAGTACGAGCGCTGTGCGATCCAAAAGAAACTGTCATTCGAAAGCTTGCGTTTCACGTGTGCACCTGCAAACCAACGCATCTTACGAGTGAATTAACAACTACAAGTATGATTAGGTAATAAAAATAATCGTTAAATGCAATTAACTTTAGTTGGAAACTATACAACAGTGCTTTAAAACTCCTACAAGCGACGGAGGTGCAGTATTTTGACAGCATTTGATAAGGATTTCGTGATCTTGCAAATAAACTGCGTCAATAATAGTTGTAAATGTCATAAGCACAGGTCAAAGTGTTCGAGGTTGTGTTCACAGAAAGATGTGGGAAAGTTACAGTACGGCAATATCTATCGATGATTAAATTAATGCTGATGGCGATAAAAATGATTGTAATAATAACGATGTGCATCAATTAGTAAATGATATAACTGGACATGGAAAAAATAATATGAATGACTGTAATAATGTTTCGTCTGTGGGATGCACGTTAAACAAACCTGCTCTAAGAATGAGAAAGTTAATTTAATAAAATAAAAACTCAATTTACGTTGCTGATATTTTCTTCATTTTCCAGTACCGTTTATTTACAAATCAATGCATATCAAAAGATTGTTACAGCGTCAAAAAAAAAATTCTACAAATTAAAAAAATCATTTATGTTAAACACTAAATTAATTAAATAATTTCGTACTAAAACCATGCTTATAGTAAATAAGTTCTTGAACTACTCCAAATTAAAAAAAGAAAACAATGAATTCTAATAAAACAAAGAAAATACTGTAACTTTTTTTCCTTCGAAAACTAGAAACAGCTTGACCAAGATTTCAATCACAATTTTTCTTTGATAATCGATTGTTTCTCACAAACAACAATTTATTGTGGGTAATTCTAAATCTGTTTGAAAAGCTGGATTTGTGTCGTACGTCATGAATTCACAAAATGTTAGTATTTAACCGTTTATATCTCTGATTTGAAGTATTAATATTAAAAATAAACTAATGATTGATGTTTCAGAAAAAAATTTTTCTTGGCTTCTGAGCATGCTAGAGCAACTCTTCTTTTGTTTAAATACGCGTTAAACTCCATGCTACTATAGTCTTTTATTTAAGAGTTTAAAAAAAATACATATTGCTAAAAAGTGCACATTTTCGGATACCATTTTGGCAGTTCTCAAATAAAAAAAATTATTATTCTAATGATATCATCGTAAATATGGATCTTTACGAAAGAAATGAGCCATGGGTTGAGTATTTTTGTTGGCAGGAACTGGGTAGAATGTCATCAAAGTTTAACGTTCTTTTAATAAATAAGTATAATACCTTGAATACGAAGAAATTTTATGCCGTGAAAATTTTATGATACATTTGGGGTCATCAAATGTGTAAGGGATAGTGGGGCAGCGTGAGTTTGTAGGGTAACTCGGGCACCTCATGTACTCAATAAAAAAATTAATGTTTTTTTCTCAAATAAATTTTTTTACATTGTAAAATATCAACAATATTTTCCTCAAAGAGTATCGTGATAAAAAGTAATTAAATAATTTGTAAAAATTTATAAAACTATTTTAATAAATAACCCTGCGGACAATGATAGCTTCATGGCTTCTTTTGACAACAAAAATTATCTCCAGTAATTATCTCATGAAGTTTCTCCAACAGTCTGTTTGATTTACTTTCAAGATCCGTTGAAAAAAAATTTTTATCTTCCACCATTAAAAAGTTATATTTATTTCAAAACATGGCTTCTAGGGGACATGATGGGCACCACGCTTGAGGCACAATGAGCCTGAGAACTCTGCGTCTGCAGCAGACATAGGGATATAAGGATCCTTATCCTTATATCTCTATGGCAGCAGACGCTGTCATTCTGTTCGAATCAAAACAAAGCTGATTAACTTAACCTTAGTCTTAGCTTTGAATTTCTCTAGTCTGTCTTATTTTATAAGTAAGTAAGTTTAATTGTGGATCGTGACTTGACTAAAAATAAGAATGGTGCGACGATACAAAAAGAAGATGGAGAGAAATATTCATAATATTCATATCGAATATTCAAAATATCACACAAAGTGATTCTTTGGTAAATTCAGTTGCTATGAATCCTATAAATTTTAGTTGTTTTTTCCTACAATCCTAAACTGGCAAGACTGAAGAGGTTTTTTACGCATATATTTCATTTTAATGAAGCTTTATTTTTATAATATTAGAGTCCAATTGGCATACAGTTATTTGTACTAAACACAAAATTTATGAGATTAAGGCAAGATGTTTGTGGTTTTAAAATAACTTATCTAACAGATTGTAATGTAACTTGTGATATTACATTTTTAATATACAATGATTTAACAAATAAATGTTTTATGTTTCTTAAATAAATTTTTTATGTTTGTTAAGTATCATTAAAAATTAATTAATATAAATACTGTTGTTCACCTACCATCGAATTATTTCAATCATCCCGCGCTCATCGTACCCTACAGCTATGCTCACTGTGCCCGCAAGGGGGCAGAATGAGCATTTTTAAGAACTATATTTTACTATATGATAACTAATTATTTATTGATTTATATATTTTTTATTTCGGGTAGTCTTATTCTATGTGTCACGCTCTGAAAGATGCTCAGCTGGAGAATTATATTTAAGGTAGAAAAAAATTGTAAGAGTGTAATAAATAATGGGTGCCCGTCATGCCCTACTATCCCTTATTGTTACAAATTTTTAAGAGCGTAAGATTTTTTCGTTGTACAAAAAAAAATTTATTATCAAAAAAGGTTTTGGAATTTCAAAGATTGATTTATTGTTATTTAAACAAATTATCAACTAAATTCAATCAAACTAATCTTTAATTATTCAGATTTCTATAAGCTACAAGTTTCGAAAAATCTAATTGTTGTAGTTACAATACGTTCAACACAAATGCCAAAAAAACCTTTCTTCAGCGATTTTTGTACATTAAAACGTTAATTTGACAATGTTTCTTACCTCCGATATCGGAACGAATGTAAGAATAATGTTACCTACACAGAAATGAATACAACAGACTTTGTTAAACCTATGGATAATTACATTACAACAAAGGCCCAAATCCA